AGCAAGAATTATTTTATTAAATTTTGTTAATACAATGAATGAATTTAGCCTTGTAAATCTTTCCCATCAAGTAAATGAAACTGATATGTGGATTAAACTATTTATTAAACATGAATTATCACCTATCTGCAGGTATGAACTGGGAGCCGCTTTATTCATTGGTTGGGCTGGAGCATCGCTTTGCATAATTGGTGGCAGCATCTTCTGCTTCTCCGTTTTTGAAAGCAAACACACTCCACGGTACAGACAGCTGCTTTTGTTAAAATTAATATTAACAGTTTTATAATTACTAAATTGTAAAATCAGTAGCCCAATCCAATCTGCAAATATTTCAGAAATGACCCTAATCAAAAGTCAAGAATGATTATTTGAAAAAAAAAGAAGGAATTTTTTAAAAACCCTCTGCTTATAGGGGAAAAAAACTTGTCAGACACTGCTCATCTCTGTAAGATTTAAAGAGAGGATTAGAAATCATGTAGCAGAAGCTGATGGTGAATTTATGCCACATAAGATGCCTTAGCGCAATGGGTCTCAACCTTCCTAATGCCGCAACCCTTTAATACAGTTCCTCGTGTTGTGATGACCCCCAACCATAAAATTATTTTTATGTTTTCCGTATTTTTTCAAAAATGTGTTTTCCGATGATCTTAGGCGACCCCTGTGAAAGGGTCGTACGACCCCTAAAGGGGTCCCGATCCACAGGTTGAGAACCGCTGCCTTAGCGCTTCTTTAAAATAATGCATGTTGCATTTTCAGTGCTTTTAAAATGCATGAATGACATGATTCAACTTATGTTTAAGTTTACTGGGCATTTTGTTTCCACAGAAATAGATTTAAATTGTGAAACCACTTCCCAACTACCTCCCCTTATCTTGAATAGTACTGAGACTGCAGTATTCACTAATAGTCCTTATCGTTCCAAGCTTTTTTTCCTTTTCATCTATTATGTAGTACATTAATTTTGCTTCCCTAAATACAAAATATGAGTGAAAATTGGGATATTGAGGAAATCATAAAGTACAGTGCAGTAATGCATTTACTGTGATTTTACCTATTGTGTTGAGAATGTTGTCTAAAAGTAGGGCTGTAATAGGAATTCATGAAAGATTCTACACTTTCCAGCAAGAGCTACGTGTAGCCCAGAAATTTGGGGATGGATCCTATGCATCACATAGGGTTCACTTCTGAGTAAGCAACCTCAGATTATGATGTTTTGAACAAACAAGTACATCTCAAAAATGTAAACTCCATGCCTGAATTGAAGCTGTTTTGAGGACAGCTTGCTACAATAAATGGCATGGAGAGAGAGAAAAAAAGCATTGATTTCATGGATCTGTACTTGGTCAAATAAAATCAGAGTCATGGTAGCATGACTGAAATGATTAAGAAATGGTTGCTAAACATATCCTTTTATTCCCTTCTGAAAATGACGTGGCACGACATAACCGTGAACGTCAAAAGCGTGCTGACAACAGCGCGCCGACAGAAGCGCGATTTAACTTAAGGTAAGGTTTAGGGTTAGGTTTAGGGTTATTTTTAGGGTTATGTTACAGCGCGCTTCTGTCGGCGTGCTGTTGTCGCGCGGTTTTGACGGTGCGGTTTTGTCACCGCGCTTTAGTCTACCGCGGTTTTGTGGTGGAACCGAAAATGAAGTGGTAGATTCTAAACATCAGATAACAGAACCAGGGGGTGGGGGTGCAGGACAGTGGTTAGAGTGCAGTGTTGCAGGCGAACTCATTGCTCACTGCCAGCAGTTCGATTCTGACCGGCTCAAGGTTGATTCAGCCTTCCATCCTTCCGAGGTCGGTAAAATGAGATTATTGGGGAAAATATGCGGACTCTATAAACTGCTTAGAGGAGGCCGTAAAGCTATATGAAGCTGCATTATCAGTCTAAATGCTATTACTAATAGGGTCCCTTTCCAGGTTTTTAATGTGAAGCAATTAGAGGTATCTGCCTGGAGAAGCTCTGTGACATTTGGGAATGTTCCACAGGCATCCTTCATTGTGTCATCAATAATAAGGTAGCAGCTGCATTTCCTGGCTTGGCCAGAAAAGCATTTGACCCTGTAGGGCTTTGACTGATTGATCAGAGAAGTTTTGAAAATTGTTCAAAATGCCACCCTACACTTTTGATTACGGAAAGCTTTCCTCAAGGACTAGCAAAGTATTAACGCTATTCTTGGTAAACTGTCACTTGAAAGAAAAAGTATTAACATTATTCTTGTTAAACGGTCACTTAAAAGAATATTGGGACTTGACCACAAGTAGACTCCTGAACTGCAATGTCTGAAAAGTTTTTACCCAACTTGAACAAAATGGATGAGTATATTGTTCTGATTTAAGGTGTGAGTACATGCGACCCCTGCAATTCATCCGGACAGGCATATCTTTTTCCAGGACTGTTAAGACAGCTGTGGGATCCTGGAAATCGATGCTGCTGCTTTAAATGAGCTGCAGATAGTGGCTGTGCTCATCTTTCCTTGTATTCCAAAATGTCTTGTCTATAGTAAAGCACACAGCAGCCCGGTGACATCTTCCTTTCAATATTTCTTGACATTTAAATGAGCTCTAAACTTTCTCGTTTCAGGATGGTATATGCGTACAACAAACCAGCGTCTATGATGTCTACTCGAACCAAGGTCTACTCAGCAGATTTTAAAGCATCCAAAATCCCTCCAAAGCACTTTGACAAAAATGCCTACGTGTAAATGGATGGTTAGAGGAATGCTTTTGTTATTAAGAATCATAATGTATGTGTTGTCCATCCACAGAATGATTTTTAAAAGTGGCTTGGTATCTTGAGCATCAGCAGTTTTATAACTATTGTAACTGTTTTATAAATGAACTTTTGTCTACTTGATGTAAATTTTCTTCATAACTTGTTTTAAGATTTATACTTATACTAGACATAATTTATAACTGCTATGTTTTGCTTTCTGTAAAAAGAAATATAAATGAAGTTGTTTTGATTACAGCCAATACTGTCAGGGATCTTCCGAATCAAACATAACAGTTGCAGCTTTTAAATGGATCCATCAGTTTTGAAGATCTGCTTTTAATAACTTGGGACTAGTTTTCAAAGCATGTTAAAACATATATAGTTAAGCTTAAGCAAGATCTTAATAATGCATTATGAAACACCAAGTTTTAATCCCAATATCACAATTATATGGATTAACAATCCCCTGCACACACACCCAAATACTCTGTAACACAAAACAAAGGTTTACTTCAATTTTCCACAAGGTTAAAATTTGAATTTTAGATTTACATAATGCAACTTGTGTTCCACTATGAGAAGATAAGTGTGTCCATTTCTGAGGAGTTTCTCTCTGTAATTTCACTTAATCCCTCAGCTTCAAATTGGTTGATTTAAAATCAAGACAGTCTCAGATATTGATTGGAACAACGAACTGTGTCCCTGAAGATTTGTCACATTGCTCTAAAAATTTAGTCTCATCACGGCACCAAAATGTACAATGTAATATACCGTTGGATTATATCGTTTTATTTTGTGTAATGTTTTTAGATGTGATTTAGAAACTAGGTAGTATTCGATTATTTTTTATTATTTTTTTGTGCCTGCTGGTCAGAGTTAATGCCTGGCAACTGCCTGGACTAATCCTGCAATATATTTTTTTGCCAAGCATTGTTTGCCCTTTCCTTTCTCTTGCAAAGACAGAGTGTGAGAGACTGGCCCAAATACACCCAGCTGGCTTTGTGCCTACAATAAGACTAAAACCCATGGTCTCCTGGTTTCTATCCTGGTGCCTAACCACCACACCACACTGGTTGTCATAGTGTTGTAGTACATAATTATAATTGTAGTGCAGTAGGAATGGCTTCTTCGTTTTTCTCTTCTCCTGTTGACAAAGCTTCACTGCCTTGATACCCATTATACAGTTAAAGACCAATCCTATCCTGAGTTTTTGTAAGATATGAAACCCACTGAAATTTAGAATCCTCCACAGACAGATTTTTTTTTTTTTACTAGAGAGAACCACATAGTATATTTAGACGTCAGTAATGGGAAGATGGGGGAATGGAGCGCATACATACTGGTTTCCAGATATGCTTACTTGTGCCTAGAACTAAAAATACCGAATGTTTAGGGAAAGAATAGGGTATAAGAAAAGAAGAGATTTTAGTCATTTTTATGAGACCAGAAATGTAGCTTTAGGAATTATTTTGGATTAGAATAATGTTTAGAAGAACCTTATTGTTTAGTTGGGTGTAAAATAAACAATTTCAATTTTGTAAAAAAAAAAAATTTTTTTATGCCTTCTGTCCCCAATTCAGTTCAAATTTTGCTTGTTGAAGGGTCGTTTAGGGTTACTAGGACACAATCTATGAAGTACACTTAAGTTTTTAAATACCCTGAAACGCTAAGTGAGATAGTATCTGGTGTGATCCACCCGTCCCCTTGAGCAGTTATTTCTGCACGTTCAAGGCAAAAAGCAATTTTGTTGTTCGTAAGAAGAGGCAGGAGTCAAAAGCAGGGGCATATATCACCTTCTCTTGCAAGTTTGATAACAATGACAGATGAGCACAAAGGCCAGGCCAGAGGTCAGGTTTGACAGGTTACAAAACATGTGATGAATGTGTTCAACTTAAAGTGCTGAAAAGCATTTTAATGCATCTTTCTTAGTTGCTTCAACCGATTCCCAAGCAGTGGTCATGTGACCTGATATTATCCCTAATAAACCTGTGGTCACCATTTGTACAAAAAGATAAAGCTTGGGATTCTCACAGTCAACTTCTTTACCATTAAAGAAATCTGCTAATCTTTTCTTAAATTGAGGGGCTCCTTTCACAGAACGGCTGTATCAACAGATGTGGTTAAGTTTTTGGGTAGGGACTTTTAGCAGATGTGCAGTTAACTTTCAGCTCAGATGTTATGTTACACCAGAGGAGACTGAATAGGTTTTGCAGTGTTTCCTATTAGTACCACTTTATAAATCCTTAGAAAAGACCACACCTGAAATACTGCATCCGGTTTTAGTCGCCACATTACAAAAAATATGTTGAAACTTTGTGCGAAGAATAGCAACTAAGATGATTAAGGGCCTGGAAATAAAAACATATAAAGAACAGTTGCAGAAATTGGTTATGGGCAGTCTAGAGAAAAGAAGGACTAAGGGGGACATGATAGTAGTATTTCATTGTTTGACGGGCTGCCACAAAGAAGTGGGGGTCAATTTAATTTCCAAAGTACCACAAGGCAAGGCAAGAAACAATGGATGAAAACTCATCAAGGAGAGAAGCAACCTGAAACTAAGGAGAAACTTCCTAACAGTGAGGACAATTAACTAGTGGAACAGCTTGTGTTCAGAAGTTGTGGGTGCTTCGTCACTGGAGGTTTCTAAGGAAAAACTGGGCAGCCACTTGTCTGGAATGGCATAGGGTCTCCTGCTTGAGCAGGGGGTTGGACTAGAAGACTGCCAAGGTCCCTTCCAAATGATTGCCCAGCCCCCTCCCTCCAGTTACCCCAGCCCAGTATCCAATCTGCAACTCCCTAAGGTGTCATGTGGGGTGCATCTTCAAGGGGCCTTATCAGGTTGTTATGCGAGGCGATTGGCCTTGACCAAGTCCAAACATCAACCATCAGCATGCGCAGAGGATGATGAGAACAAAACTCCCTTTCCCAATACCCCCCCATTTCTATGGCAGCCGATAGCAAGCAAGCGAAGCAGAGGCTGACATCCAGCTCTATTCTGATTGATAATGGGTCTCACTGGTGGAATGCCTGTTTTATCTTGCCTCCTGGGAATTCCCTTCCTGAGTGACTCTTCTTCCTCCTCATCCTCCAACCCAGAAAGCAACAAGGATGAAAGTTGGCAGTGATGCAGAGAGCAAGAGAGTCCAGGATAGGAGCTGCATGGAAGTGCCAGGAATCAAAACAAATCCAACTGCTTCCAACTTTTTTGTCGTCCTAGATGTTGGAAAAGCAAGAAAGTAGAATTAAGTTTATATAAAGTCTTTGTATGATTTAAATATGTGTTGATTTTTTTAAAAAAGTATTAAAGCAGTATTAATTGATAAAACACTTTTAGCCACTTCTTCCAGGAGAACTAGCTGGAAGTAATTAAAAGCTCGCGTTTGATAAAAGGTAAAACTTTGGACACAATTTTGTAAAGAAAAGTTCCTTGTTAGTGCACCGTAAGAAAAAAGGACAGAAATCAGATTAAACCTCCTTGCACAATCAAATATCCGAAGAGTCACTCCAATCTGTAACAGTGACCAAGCTGCTTTTCAGTGAGCTTGAGATAGCTGCATCTTGACGTCCTGTTTAAAAAGAAAACAGTTATTTTGAAATATTATTTTTCAGTGCGAAAGATGCTTTCATTCCCTGCTACCTTTTGTTTTTACACTTAGATAGGTTTTCATTATTATGCAGTCTAAATCTTTTTGGTTTAAATGCCATCTCCCATAATCATAGTTGGCCAATGTGGGAACTCTTCAGCTTTGGAATCAGTGCCATTGGGCAAAGCTAGGAAATTCATGAAACTCTCACCATGCTCTCAATGACTGCAATGGGAGAGTTGTACATCTTGTTGCCATAGGAACTCTTCCTAAACTAAGCTATCATGTAACTGATAGGTCTATATAAACAGTATCCACAGCCACAGTAGATGTAGGTCTAGATTAACACCCCCTTCCCTTTTCAAATTGTTCAGGAAAAATATAACACAGCAATTCTAGCGTGAAAATACCTTCATCCTTTATTGGTTTTCCCCCTTCATGGGTCGTTGACGCAGCACCTGGATCATTCTTTTCAACAGCACGTACATTCTTATTTTTCTCATTTTTCAAAGGTTTTTCATCTTCCAGAGATGATAAATCCCAGTCATCCTCATCTTCAATATCTGTAAACTATATATAAAAAAGAAATAACAGCAATTTCTTCAACTTAGGAAATGCTTAGCAATATTTCACTGAGCGATGGTTCTCAATCTTTTTCAACACAGTAAAACAGTAAGATGAAAGAGATACATCAGACTATCGAAAGACATTTGGAATTCTCAGGAGTAATGCAGAAAAACAATGATTTTATTTTCCTGCTTTAAAAAAACTATTTGAGGAGACAGTATAATAATGTATATTTTCTTGATTCATTACTAAACATGAACATTGTATCAACATAGATAGAAAAAACTGTTATTCTAAAAAAAAAAAAAAAACAGCGACCTCTACTGAAAGGAGGTAGAATGAGTATGATGAAAGCAAAACAGAATACTGTCTATCAGATATTACAGTTGTAATTCTTTTTTTAAAAAAATGCAGCACTGTTAAAATGTTTCTACTTGCACCTCATTCGTTTACACTGGGAAGAACATGTATTTTATTCTCCATTGAAAATAATGTTTCATTAAAGCTACATTAAGAATTCCAGTGGATACAAAATACAAGCTGTATGTAGGATTCTACTGCTCTGAACTTAATTCTGGTAGTGGTTTGCTAGGAAAAATATTGATAATAATAAGACCAGGGTGATCGTGGAACCACAACAATAGAAGCTGTTGGATCCATGGCACTAGGTGTGTATAAGCAAAGTCTGGAAATGTTAGGAATTTCTGCATGGAGGATTCTGGATTTGACGGTTTGAGTTGCTCTTTGCAATCACATAGTTACAGTTCTATGATTACGCCACTTGACATCGGAGTCAAATGGAAGTGTGGACAATAGGACCAGAAAACATTTAGCGGGACAGCCTAGAATCTGATTTGGGAAATACCTTTACTTCCTGGGCACATGCATGAATAGATGATGAACCACCATTCATTCCTCCAATTTCTTTGCTTTCCTTTCTTTGGCTCAAAAGAAACTTCTCCATTTCATCCATCTCATTTTGAAGTAAAGAGCCTAAAACCCATCAAGATAGAAGACAGTTAGTTTATAAAACAAATATTTAACGACACAGTGGCAGTAGCTGCTCCGCTCTCAACATTTCTTTAACAAGACTTAGTCCAGAGACTACACTGTACAGTTCTTACACCCATACCTATCTTTCTTCCAGCATTTCAAGGGGACATACAAGGAATAACCTCCATTTTTTCTCTCCACAATAACACTATAACATACATTGGTCTAAAAAATTGGCCCCAAGTCACCCAGTAAGTTTCCAAGGCTGAAATCTGGGCTCCCTTTCGAAACTAGCAGACTTTTGACTATCCTGGTTTGGGTTGTGAAACTACACACCATCTTGCTGATAAGGTGGTTTTCTACTTTTGCCGCTAGCCCGTGTTCTGCCCCCTTTCATTCCCCATATAAAACACGGCTGGCTGCTGTTCCTTGTATGCCATCGCAGCAAACGTGTCCCACTGCTGTACCATCTCAGATTTTAAATTAAGGAAATGTTCAAAAATGAATATTGTTTAGTTATGGTATATTTTAATTTTATAAAATACACAAGAAGTGTATTTTTATGAAATAAACATGGTGAAATTTATTTCTTCTGGGCATATGAAATGCAGCCCAAGTAAAATTAACCTTACATTAATTGGCAAAAGGTTAATAGGGAAGAAAACAATTAGATCCAAGGCAGCTGTTCGGAACTACATTCTAGACATCAAGTACACACAGCAGAACCAGGATAATATGGCTATCAATAATTCTGCACTATCCTGACATTGGACGGGAAATTACAGCAAAGTAGAAGAAAAGAACACTTGCAGAGATTAGCCAATCTTGTACGCCTCACTGCATTATCACCCAAACTCTGATCTGGAAAATTAAAGTACATTCCAATCCTGAAATTAGACTTAATAAAATGTTGATTAGCTCCCACCTAAAATAATGATGAAACCTTAAAACAGCTGTCAATCTCTCAAGTCATAATCAAAGAAAAAAGCAACCTGGAATTAAGAAGAAACTTCTTAATGGTGAGGACAATAAACCAGTGGAACAGTTTGCCTCAAGGGTGCTCCATCACTGGATGTTTTCAAGAAGAGACTAGACCAGGGGTGTCAAATTTGCGTCGTCACGGCATCATCACATGACATACCAAGACTTTCCCACCCTTCGCTAAACCGGGCGGAGCCAGCACGTGACACATCCGGCCCGCGAGTTTGACACCTCTAGACTAGGCAGTCAGTTATCTGAAATAGTATAGGCTCTCCTGCTTAAGCAGAGGGCTGGACTAGAAGACTTCCAAGGTCTCTTCCAGCTCATTCATTCTATTCTATTTTCTAAAAGTCCTAATTTGGTGGTTTACAAGGATCCTTTAGGTTAGGAATTGTTTTCCAATTCTCTGACATGGTTCATCTGCTTCAGCTTGCCCACCTTTTAAAGGCAGTTTCTCCTCCCTTACATGTGCCATGTATTTTTAGCTCCCCCCCCCCCAAAGTACTGCCCACATAATTAGCTTTTGTACTTCTGGATGGCTTAAGATCTACTTCATCTTCAGGGATGTTTACATCACTCCGATATGCAAATCTTGGCAAATTGTCTTTGCTGTGGTCCTTGGATGCCTTATGCAGAGCTAATTCAGGTGAGATGTAGGAGTGCCTGATGTCATTTTCCTCCACTTCCTCTTCTGAGCTAAATGGAGAAGTTCTGGGAAAACAAAAATTCATCCATGAATTTAAGCTGTTCCAGTTACAGCAATTTTAAAAATATTGGTTGAGGGAGCTCAACCAAATCTCATTGTACATATGTTGTGCACTGGCAATAAAGAATTATTACTATTAATTAACTTTCTATAATAAAACTAGAATCGATAATCTAGCAAACATTATACCTAAAACAGTTCCTTAGCAACTCTCTTATCAAAGCAAGGCTAATTGGGAGATGTACCCATTTTTGTTGGAAGATTATTTTGGCATCAATAGGCAGATATATAACTATTACATCATAAGAGCAATGAAGCAAACTCTAGAACAGGAGTGTCAAATTTGTGTTGTCACAGTGTCGACATATTGGGACTTTCCCCCCCTTCGCTAAAACAGGCGGGGTGAAGCCAGCATGTGACAAATCTGGCCCGCAGGCTGCGAGCTTGGCACCCCTGATCTAGAATAAACCCACTCTATAAAAATAAGAATTAGTTAAACTATTTTTTTTTTACTATTTAGGCAGAATTCTATTTCAGCCTTTTCCAAAGTAGTGCTCTCCAAAGGTGCTGGATTAAGTCCTTTCATGATTTTTAGTGAAATAACCTGTATTCCAGCTTATTTCAAAGGCACAAGGTTGGAAAATGATGAGCTACATATAGATTTCAGCCAACTAATTCACTTAATTCCATTCAAATTAAAAGGTAGATGACCTAAAGTAGTTGAATCATAACCATTGGTTGTTCCTGTTATGTATAATATTCAATGTAATTTATGAATCCAGAAGTATGCAAATAGCATTTTAGGAGGTCAAGAAATCAGAAGAAGATTAACAGATTTCGGGTCAGAAGCAGAATGTCCTGTCCAACCCTCTGCTCCCCTTTCTCTTTTTGCTGTCCTTGTCTCCAATCAGCCTACACTACACTTCTTTAGGCAAAGTGGCACAGGTAGTCCTCGACATACGACAATTATTGAGCCCAAAATTTCCGTTGTTAAGCGAAACATTTGTTAAGTGAGCTTTGCCCAATTTTACAGCCTTCCTTGCCACATGTGTTAAGTGAATCACTGCAGTTGATTAGTTAGAAACCCGGTTGTTAAGGGAATCTGGCTTCCCCATGGACTTGGCTTGTCAGAAGGTCACAAAAGGGGATCATGTGACCCTGGAACACAGCAAGTCATAAATGCCAAGCAACTGAATTCACAATTGAATTTTGATTACATGACCATGGGGATGCTGCAAAGGTCGTAACTATGAAAAACGGTCCTGAGTCCCTTTTATCAGTGCCGTTGTAACTTTGAATGGTCACTAAATGAACTGTTGTAAGTTGAGGGCTACCTGTATATCCAATTTGTTCCAAAATTAATTTTTGGTTGTCTAATAGAATTCTTATTTCAAAGCATGCAAAACAAAATGAAGGCAGCTTACACCGTACTAGGTGGCTTTCTAGAAACGTCATCCTTCAACATATTCTTCTTGGTTCTGGAAGGAAGAGAAAACAAATATTTGCAGTTTCTTTTGGCTAGTAAGATGCATACTTCATACACTGCCATTTGTTTTCCTGAATTTCCTCACTGGAGCCATTGGCTTATAGAGTTGGTTGATATGAAGGTTAAGCTGACTATTCCCTTGCTCTTCTTAAAAATGTAAATGTCTGTTTTCATGAGGTCAGAGGAAATAATATAATAATTTAGTAATCCCCACCATTACTTCCTGATCATCAATGGGCCACTCAAGAGTCACCTGAACCATGAGATGGGAACCTAATAAATTTCATAAATAAATCAATCACCAAGAAGACAACACTATCAGCTACTCATAAAGCATGCAAGTTATATCTTACCTGAATTTTTTAACTTACTTTGGGGTCGAAGTGTTTTCAGCAGGCAAAGTTCTTTGCACGGGTGAATGTTTGGCAAAGGAAGAACGTTTTACTGGCCTGGGAAAAACGGTTGGTAATGAAGTTCCTAAGCGAGTTGTCCTGTGTTTAGCTGTAATGAAATGATAAGAAAGGTGTCATTTAAACCACATGCCCTGTCTACAAAAGAATACTTACTGAAATTATGTCACATAAAAGAACAAAAAAACAGTATTTCCATTTTGCTTACAAATATTACACTAACCCTATCAAGTCACTAGATTACCAAATCACAGGCTCTCTTTAGGATCCCACATTCCCACTTTGTGGGACCATTTCCTGTCACTGTCTCCTTCCTCATGTTTCTCAATCTGAGCAACTTTAAGATACTGGACTTTAAACTCTCAGAATGCTGGCTGAGGAATTCTGAAAGTTGGAAGTCCATACATCTTAAAGTAGGAATAATATGAAGAATATTCTTGTTTTTATTTTACTTTCTATACCTACTGTGACTTTGCTAAAAAATGAAGTTGTAAGTGTATACTTTTAATCTTTACTGCTATATTTCGTTAACGAAGCGTATAAAAAATCATGTTGATAATTTTTCATTATCTATTTATGTCAAGCTAGAACCAATCAGCCTATTTTCCATATAACTTGGAAATGTTTAAATCTGAATGACACAATGATTTCATGGGATTTATGATTAGCATTAATTGAGACCTGCCTGTTATCAGTAAATGTAAGTATTACAGTCATGTTATACATACGAACTGGCCCACGTTTATTTTAAGGAATCATTTACAGATAGCAAAGCTAAACTTTTAAATCTGACCCAAGCATAAATAAAGATCATACCTTCTGAAGAAAGATGAGGGTTGGAAAGAAATCTGCTGCAAGATGATTTTTCAGCAACTCTGAAACTGACTTGTCGTTCAAGTTGCTCTCGAATGTGCTGAATGTCAGGCACTTGTTTCTTTCTCTCTTCTCTAGCAGTCTCAACAGATATTAAGACTCTGTTCAGATGATCACTTGGGATGCCATGTACTCCCTGGATAAGATGAATTAACAAAAATTAAAAATAATTTTATTTTTTCGGGAATAATATAAATTATTCATGGGAAATGATGGAACAATACAAAGACAAGAAGCAGAAGAGAGGGAGGGAGGAAGAGGGAAAAAAGCTTCCTGTCAGGCCTGCATCTGTATTCCTTTTGGATCTTTGGCCTGCCACACTTTCTATTATTCTACTATGCCTTTTCTATTGTGGGAAAATGAGAGGGGGGATTGTACGGAGCTAAATGCTATGTAGCCATAACAAAATTCTTTCTAGAAAGCCAAGGTCATTCTTTGTCTCGGCACCTCTGCACCAGACCAAAACTGGATGGGTGGAACTGCTAGCATGGCAGTGGAAGATTGGACCATGTAATGGACTTGTGGGTGGGGGGCAAGATCTTGAATTTTCAACTGGGTGGGGAAAACCGGGAAGCTTTCAAATTCGGGTTTTCCCAGATGTGCCAACATGGCTTTCTTAATAAATTGGAACTTTGAACAATATTTGCCTTGGACTCCGATTTAATTTTGGATGCTACATGGAACCCTGTATATTTTTCTTTTTCATGCAAAAAGTCTATTAGAGAAAACCAATATATTTAAGGTTGACTGGAAATAATAAATAAAGTTTTTCTCTCTTTTGATTAGAATCTATTTAGTCATCTCTGCCAGTTCCATCATCTGACATTCCTACATAGTGTTGAGTCTTTCCACTTTTGAGCATATAACAGTCTTGTTACAGATGTACATCACTACTTTACTACCTCTGTGCTAAGATACTGTCTTTCGCATTTTTCCTATTCAAAAGCAATATTTTGCGTCACACAAGGTTCAGAATGTCAGGCAAGCACATCTAAAGATCGCTGCTCTGAAAAAGGCATTAACATTCCTTCACTCATTTGAACAATTTAAAGTGATCTTACGGATTTAATTCCCAAGGATTCCAACTTTTCTGCTAGGGTCTGCTCCAAAACAGTTCTCAGCTCTTTAGTTAATGAAGGATCACTCTTCAAGGTCTTTATCACGTGAGATGTATTCTTTCCTTTTTGGGGCACTTGCTTTTCTATTTCTGAAACAAGCCAGATATTTTTCTTTTAAAAAATCACATCATAAAATCAATACACGCTTCATCAAAATATTTGCAGTGTATTATGCACTCACCTGAATTTTCTGCCTAACAAATTCTAATGTTTCTATATCAAAAAGCAAAGCAATAACTTAATTTTAAATATAACTGGGCCAACTACAGAAGTCCACAATTCAACTCTTTCTTTTGGTCACAACTGCATCTGACAAATCATGTTATGCATTAGGTATCAATTATAGATAGAGTAAATCCATTAAAAGGTATTTATTATTTATTTTAGTGGACCTACTCTTAAGAAGAATTTTCAATCCAAACCAATGTAGATAAACATATAATGTGATCACAGAATCCTAATAATAACTACAGTGTTTTCCTCCAAAAAAAGACCAACCGGAAAATAAGCCCTAGCATGATTTTTCAGGATGCTCATAATATAAGCCTTATGCCCAAAATAAGGCCAAGTTAAGACTGTCAGCCAATCTAGTACCATATTTACTGGAAAATAAGTCCTAATGCATCTTTTGGAGCAAAAATAAATATAAGACCCGGACTTATTTTCATGGAAACACAGGTAGTTCAGTGAATATAGTTAATCATGCACATTGTTACTTATTGTAACATCTATGTCATCTATTATTTTTTTCTGGAGGACCAATCTGTAGCCAACTATTTCAAAACTACTCTCGATAGAGAAACTTGAATAAATAAATAACCTTAATCACTGACTTTTGTCCAGAATGGTATAAAGTCTCTTGCTCAAATGGGGTTAGACTAGAAGACTTCCAAGGTCCCTTCCAACCCTACAATTCTATGACTTCTTGAAGACAACTGTAAATCTAAATAAGACAGGAGGTATGTTTAAACAGTGGGCTGAAAGCCACACAAGCTAAGAATTGTATCAAATGAACTACAAAGAATTCCAACAATAACCCCCCCCCCCAATAAAGAGAAATTCAAAACCAAGGAAACTGCTTGGCCTACTTTCCTTGACTCAATTGTCTGTAGGTGTAAGAAAGTTCATGGGAGGCTGGATATAAGGATGAATAAAACAGAATCCTAGAGAGAATAGTGGTGGACACTAATTGGCAAAAGGGAAGCCAAGCAATAGGAGAAGCTACTTTTCAAAAGGATCACAGAAACACTGAGGCTATCTGAAAATGTTGAGATAAGACTTTTTGGGTCTTCTGGTAGAAGAAATGTGACACTGCTCTCATGTCTCTCGCTCTCTCATACACACACATCATGCAAGAAGAATTTAGGCCACAAAAACTTCCATTGGTCCTGTTGATTACCTTTTTCATTCTCTGGAAGCTCCTCTATGGGCTCCAGCATGTGTACCAAAAGGGCCTGTTCTAATAACGAGGAAAGACATGAATAGCAGGAGAGACAGAAAGACAGACAGTATAAAAACAGGTAAAGCTAAAGCCCAGAGAATGAGAGCAATTCAAAAAAGTATGGAAAAGTACCAAATACATATTTATTTGGTGATTAAAACCTAATCAAATGCAATTATTTATTGTCAACTTAATGCAAATTGTTATTTGCCTCCAGCTACATGCACCTGTCAAAATATTTATTATCACGCATAACTTTTTTTCAACCTCTAATCACAAACTGCAGGTTAAGTGGATGATGTTATGTTTTGGGATTTAAACTAAAAAAAAAGCCATTAAGAAATTTGCTCTAATTTTTTCCTCCTGCCATCATATAATCCAACAGACATTAGGACTTTGCCCCTACACCATGTACAGATATTGGGGCAGTGGGGATATACATTATTTCAGTCAGATTGCAGAAGCAGGCAATTTAATCTTTACTCTTGTATTAAGGATGCATTAATTGATTCCTGAATTACTTCTCCCAATAGGTGTAAGCCATAATTGCAATGTTATTCTTTGATGCAATTCTCACAGTACAGTCCATTGAAGCTTTTCTAAATTGGATGGTTACTTTAGCTTGGGCCTTAGGATTTTCTCATTATGTGTAAATGAGAAAACTGAGTAAAACCTCTTTGGCTATTTCTAACTTACATATGGTCCCTGTGCTCATATCACAACACTGATCTATCAAAGAAAGTATCATTTTACTAGTAACAGTTCAAAGCAAAGTGAGACATTTTACAAAAGCTTCAATGGACTGTACTGTGCAAATTGCCTCAGAGAATAATATTGCTGTCATGGGCATTTAGCATCAATCTTCATAACTGAATCTCTTCTTCAGTTTTCCAGCTTAAATATAAATCAAGAAGTCAAGTGGACACTACTTTGCAGGTAAGAATAGTTACTTGTGCCATCTACTTACGCTGTTTCCTTGTTTGGTTGCTCTACGATACAACCAAAGTCCCAGTTATTATGGCAGCTATGCTCAACAAAAAAACCATCCAAACCTCTGCTTTTGCATCTACCGTGTTTCTCCAAAAATAAGACAAGGTCTTATTTTCTTTTGACCCCCCAAATAAGCACTTGGCCTTATTTTCGGGTAGGTCTTATTATTTTTGAGGTACAGGAAGTGGCAAGCTTGGTCACTTCATGGCTGCTGCTATGTTGCAATATTTTTGGGGAAGGCTTATTTTAGTGCATGCGCTCAAAAGCCCGATTGGGCTTATTATCCGGAGAGGTCTTATTTTCAGGGAAACAAGGTACCCATCTTAAGATTCCAGCTTTTCTGGGAGAGATACAGTCATTATAAATCTAATCTTTGCCAACTTTATTACTGATTATAATAAAATGTCATCAAGAAATTCTACGCTCTCAGTATGCCATTCTCCTTCAGGATTCCATACAGGAAGCCTTCAGTATGACTACAGGTATATGAAGATCACCTATATGCTGGGACAGCCCCATACATATCAGGCAATCATGTTAAATAGCCTTTCTCCAAAACAATCATTACTCTAATAATATAATTCTATCGGAGAGTAAAAATGCAATCATAAACTCACACATTATAGTGCTGGGGAGTTGCGAATAATAATGCATTGGCACAATACAAACCTAGTAATTTATTATTTGCACCTGGCGTCACAAGCTGGAAAAGTTAGTTGCCACTAGCAAATTAAGTTTCTTCATTTGTTATGAATACCTATGTTCATAGATCTGATTTTAAAGCAGTAACTATAAAAGGCAGGAGGAATGTGAAAGTGCAGGAAGAGAGGCATACAGAAGTAGAAAGGCTTTTTGCTACTTAAATAGGCAATCACCAATAAAATAACCCAGATCAAAACCCAAATATGTCCAAACTGTATAAGAAATACTAAATACTGAGAACTTTGTGATATCATTTAGACATTTTTGTATGTTTACAAATAGCACAGGTTAAATTGCTATTCAAAGGTAGCTTCAAGAAACAGAAGCTGCTACTACAAGTAATGATCTATTTGGGAAAAAATAAAGATACCTGTACAAATTGAATAGATATTCACAATGACAGATAAAAGATTCCCCATATCTTAAAATGTCCGATCCAAATAATCCAATTATTTGAATTGGCGCTGTTATCGTGTGATACAATTCCTGGTGCTGAAGATTATACTTCTATAATCATGAACTTTTGTATGGGATACTAGAGAGATCCCATCTTACAATTCTTTGATTTATATTGATACACTGGGCATTTTTCCCTGGACATAAATTGCCTAAAATTGGAATTGTCCACATAGCAATTCCATAAATTGGAATTATCATAGAAAGGCAAATGCAAACTGGTGAGGTTGAAATACAAGCAACTCGTCCACAAGGTACCAAGTACAAATGTAGTTTGTACCCTGAATATACAGTAAAGTCAGTTCATTGAATCAACATATTTTCTACTCTAGCAAAAAAAACTATTTAATGAATGCAGAACTGCAGTTTGTACCCGGAATATACAAAACCCATTATAAAACCCATTTTATAAATAAATGCAGAAATTGCAATTTGTACCCGAATATACAGTAAAACCAGTCCAATGAGCCAACATATTTTCTACCCTAGCAAACCCCCTTTTTTATAGTAAGCAAACAATTGAGGCAAAATGATACATAACTTGCTTTGTTCCTGAATATGCCTCAGAGGTGGGGCTGGGACCTCTTCTGAATAGTCTCCCTTTTTCTTAGCAATAAATCCACCCATTTTACTCCCTCCCCACCCTCTTCATTTTCTCTTTGAGAATCATTCCTTTCCAAACACGCTTGTTTCTCCTTGAAGTGCTCCTGGCCAACCAGAAAAGCAATTAAATGTTACAAATGAAATAAATCTCCAGATCCACCCAGAGCCTTTTGCAAAATGAGAGTAATGGTTCTGCAGGCATAGTACAGTCCCTGGGAGCACTACGTTGCGCTTTCTTTGTCTAGCCTATCCATTTTCTCTCATCTCTTGCGTATTTAAAAATCTCTTGAGATAAAAACACATTTCAATTAGGTGGGTTTTTTAAAAGGTCCTATTATTACCAATTTTATTCAAGGTGCTTATCCCAGATTAATATAAACTAACCTTGGACAGCAGATTCTGGACGCTCTTTTGATAACAGTCTTACAGCTGGGAGAACGGATTGATTTTCTGCTTCAATTCCAAAATCTATTGAGCCAGCCACAAATTAATTTGATTACAACACGTTTTATGCTCTTAGTTAAAAATCCTTCAATTTTGATTTTAAATAGAAACAATTATTGTACAGAAAGAAAATGTCAGCAAGTTACATTTATGCCAATGAATACAATGACTGATTTTTCCAATATATTTCAGGAGAGCTTAATAAAAAAGATTGTTCCATTAATTAAATTTAGTTGTTACTTATTATCCCACAGGACAATACCTAAGGAGTTGCACGTCTATTACAGAAACCTACCATGCATGGATGATGGGCTTGATTTGGGTTGAACATTTTGTGCTGAAGTTTTCACTGGAACAAAAATATGAGAGGATATAAGTGTCAAACTTCTCCTTAAAATAAACTGCACATATTTCTAAACAAGGATATGTGTTTTTTTTCCTGCAAAAGCAGTTTTGTAATAAAGTTTTTAAAAAAGTATTTGTGCCACATTTTAAACTCTTTCTTTCTTAAAAGTCCTACTTACCTTCAGATAACTTTAAGTTTTCTACTGGTTTTTTTGAAGCCAGTTTTTCTATCTGAAATTACAGGGTTAGAAAACATGGATAGTGATGCAGAAATGAGAATTTGCTTATACAGTGCTAGTTAAGAATCTGTCATTTTGATAAAGTAAGGCTTCCAGGTAAGTGATAGGGCTTCATCAACAGATGGGAAGCGATACAATGCTTTTGCAATAACTCCTCGCTGCACAAAGTCTCCCCTCCAGATGAACTGCTCTTAAGTGGTCCCAGGCACAAAGACAAGCACATACAATAGGTGGCAAGAAAGAGGAGACTATTCCTTACTATTATGAACTCAATGTTGGCTGAATATATTACTGTCAAGTCTGGCCCAGTGGCAAAAGGACCTTTTGTCATGGCCAACTGCAATTATAAGCAAAGTCTCCTTCACAAACTAGTGCTGGTGACTTCATGGCCATGAGATTTCTTGATAGTGGTCCATCAAAATTCTGGCTTCTGAGTTTAGCTCCCTAAGCCCTAAATTTGTATTTCTCTTTTATGCACATTTTCTTCCATTTTTCTAATTCTTTGAAAAGCAAAGCCCAGATGCAGCCTAAACATGTATTCACCTTTCAGCAGCCATGCTCTATTGCTGACTTGCAGGCCTACTAAAGGAACAAGAAACACTGATTGTAAGAACACAAAATGAGAAGTCTGTAAGGATAGAAAGTATTTACTTATGTAATTACTGGAATTCCAGCCGTATTTTTTCATATAAAAAAGGTCCCTTTGCTTATGCTCTGGCATTTTAGAAGGGCACTAATACATGGAACAGACCTGATTTTTCTGGATAATAATAAGATCATTTTGTTCTTGCAGCTTTTGTCCTAGTTCTTCTAGTCTCTTCTGATAGAAAATGTTGCTCATATTCAGTTCCTCAGCCACTGATGCTTTAAGCTTCTCAATTTGAGATGTGAGCTGAATAGGTTAAATATGGAAAATGTCTATTTAACTAGAATCATTATGTTTATCTTATGCTATCTTATGTATCTTATTATATATTTATAATATAAAATTACTGGTCTAATTTCCTCCCAATGTTTTTTTGGACATAAAAGATTAAAGGGCAGACTCTCTTCCCCTTCAGCATTAGGAAAATAGAAATATATGCACTATGGAAAGTTAATCAAGACATTTCCCTTTTAGGATAAATAATTTAGATTTACGAAACAGGCTTATTTTCTTAAGGAATTAGCAAATCCATTAATTTATGATACTTTTGTGCTCTTTGGTACGGTTAGGCAACTTAGGGCCCTCAAGATAGTAACTAGAGAGTATCAGGGTGCCTATCCTACTCAACAGGTTTGTGATGACACACAGAAGATTTGTGTAACTGTCACAATCAACCAAAACTAGACAATGCATTATGGGCATAACAGACTGTATAGTTTGCAGTGATACTCTTTCAGAGGAAAAGATTGGTATCCTGATTAAGGTGACTCTTTTTAACCACATCATTCCACATTTCTCCATTTGTAAAACTCCTTTCCTGAGTCTTCCTATTCCACTGGAAGCAAGAAAAAAATATGTAAGTATAAATTTTGTCAAAATTCCTAAGTTTACCTTGTTCGTAATTATCTTATAAACCATGAATTTATCTATCTTATAAACTATGAAAAAAAACCACACACACACATACACACTTTTACCCTTTACTTTTTGTACTTCTTTTAACCTTTGTCATGTATAAAAGATTTCTGTCAGGGAAGATGTTTCTCCATTGGAATTCTTGGCTTTACCAGTTCATATGTTCACAGAGACAAATCTGAATGTAACTGAAGAACTTCAAAGTAATTCTTGTAATAGCATACTTCTTGCATGCTGTAGCTTATTTTTCAATAAAAGAACTGAATGTGAATACTTCATGCAGTTATCATATTTTTTGGCATATAAGATATACCTTTTCCCCTCAAAAAAGGCTGAAAATCTGGGTACGTCTTATACACTGAATACAGAATTTTCTGCCTCCTGAAACCCCAACTCCTTCACCAAAATGACCATGCATAGCTTGTAGGCGGCTTTCAGAGAGCTCCTGGGGGCTGGGGAGGGCAGAAATAAGAGCCGAGGTGGTGCAGTGGTTAGGGTGCAGTACTGCAGGCCACTTCAGCTGACTGTTATCTGCAGTTCAGCGGTTCTAATCTCACCGGCTCAAGGTTGACTCAGCCTTCCATCCTTCCGAGGTGGGTGAAATGAGGACCCAGACTGTGGGGGCGATATGCTGACTCTGTAAACCGCTTAGAGAGGGCTGAAAGCCCTATGAAGCGGTATATAAGTCTAATAAAATAAAATAAAAAACCACACACACACACACCCCAGGAACACTCTACAAGTCTCCTAAGAGCTATTTATACCCTTTTAAAAAAGAACAACGGGGCCGTTTTCACAGAAACAGGCTGTTTTTGGGAGGTTTGCAGAGTGCAAAAACTTTTTTTTTAATTTGCCTCTTCAAAACCTTGGTGCATCTTATACTCCGAAAAATACGGTACTCAGCATGAGAATCAGTGAAAATTTTAACATAATCCAAGGTGGATTTAAAATAGTCATTCTGAATGGTTTACCATGTCTGTATTATTTTTTTCTATGTAGGAAACTTTCATTCAGATTTACCTGGTGCTTTTCATTTTCATGTTCTTCTTGAAGCGTTTGTACCTTAGAAGACCACTTAGCTTCCTACATAAAACAAATATGATATTGGTACTTTGAACAAAGTCTTAACTTTATATTGCTTAATTTTGTTTTATTGAAATCCAAGTTATCAACTTGTGTCAAACTCACAATATAAATAAACATGCTGTGGCAGTTATTAAATAAGTCTACATTGCTTATATTAAGAAAGTAAAATTAAACAGGTTATCTGAAACTAGAATCACACTGTGAAATTACTTTTGATTTCTGTGCCCAAGTTGATTGCCTAGATCACTTCATGTTCATGTTGAAGCTACTGAACCAGCTTAGTTTGAGACCATAATAGACATTATGAACTAATTTAGTTTGTCATTTTAATGTCTGGGATCTTCCTAATAATGCACCTGGCTCTGAGGGTCTAGAATACCTACTTATCAAAAATCAAATTCCAAGAATTTGTGGAAAACCTTTTGGGGGGGGGGGCAGGGGAGGGAAGGGAGAGAAGGATATCCCAGAGTTTATGGCATTAAGGAGAGGGAATCTGGATTCAGATGAAAGAAGACAAATATTACATCCAACCCAGGTATACATTATGCCACACTCTAAGGTAAAGGTAAAAGTTCCCCTCGCACAAGTGTGCTAGTCGTTCCCGACTCTAGGGGGCAGTTATCACCTCTGTTTCAAAGCCGAAGAGCCAACACTGTCCGAAGACGTCTCTGTGGTCATGTGGCCGGCATGACTAAATGCTGAAAGCGCACAGAATGCTGTTACTTTCCCACCAAAGGTGGTTCCTATTTTTCTACTTGCATTTTTACATGCTTTCGAACTGCTAGGTTGGCAGAAGCTGGGACAGTTAACAGGAGCTCACTCTACTAGGGATTCGAACCGCTGAACTTTCTGATTGACAAGCTCAGCGTCTTAGCCAGTGAGCCGCCGCGTCACTTTGTCACATTCTAGAAAAGACAAAAAGCTGAAACCACCTTTCACCAATCTAAAGCACAACTGAGTCTGAATCTAGAAGAAAATACATTAACATAATCTGAGCATTCCTGAGATCTAATTCTGCCTTCACTCATCCATGTCCCCAAATGAATTGCAATCTCAATCATCCCCAACCAATGTGCTCATTCTTGGCTTTATTGGAAACTGATTGGAAGTGTGTTCATCTTACAGGGACGTGAGGGAAGACCAAATGCACATAAATTCTTTCTCCCTGTTTAAATCTGGAGTCTGAAGTCACAGTGCCTGACATTTGTATTAAATTACCTGTTTTTCAAGAAGCTGCATTACATTCTGATGATCCACAGCAATCCGATGTTTCTCATCTGTTAATTCAACGGTATCTTTTAAAGTGCCTAAATTGGATTTCAGATGTTGGTTGGACTTTTGTACCTCTAGCAAATGCTAATAGGGATACAACAGCAGCAATCAGAGTAAATTCAAAGTTCTCTTTGGAAAAATAAATAAGCTGGCATATTCTGCTAGAAATACTTCTAAAAGGCAAAGTATTTTTTTTGCCATCTCCACCAACCCCCCAAATTTAGCCATTTTCTTGAACTCTAATTACTTAAATAATAAACCACCCCACAAATATAAAATACAATTATTTGTTTTTAAGTTCAAAGGAATAGGTGTTCAAGCCACACTTTTAGAAACTTTTCAGGAAAGTAATGAATATGTGGGGCAAAAGGGGAAGAGAAGTGATATCCTTTCCAATTGAAGGGGTTCTGATGGACAATCTTAGCAGCTGCATATGAAAATAATCCTCGGCTTGAACATAGCAGGAATAGGGGTACATGGGAAAGGAAGGAATTTGTGGCTGAAGGACAACCAGTAAGCTCAGGTTTTTATAAAGTTCTACACCCTTTCCAATATTTAAAATATAAAACTGCAATATTACTCTATAGAGTACACCATCCAATTTCTCAGCTACTTACATTTTCTAATTCTGAATTTTTTGCAGTTAATTCTTTAAATTCCTTCATAAACATCTCTTTCACCTTCTCAAGTTCACGGGCCAATTTCTCCTTTTCTTCGTCTTTCCATTTGTGAAATAAGTGCCGAATCTCCTCCTCTTTGGATCGGCGATCTTCATATTCCTGAAATTGAATGAAAAAGCTATTTTAAGAATTCCAGAAAGTCATTTTCTAAAATTCCTGCCTTTTGATCATGATGCTTATTCCAAACCAATGAAACCTTATCATAAATTAATGTGATATATGGATTGTAAAATATTCCAATCTAACTAGAGGATTGCTGATCAGTGAAAAAAGGTTTGTAGGAAGAGATAATGGAAATGGTGATGTGTGAAAATGTATATTGTATATCCTTTTAACCTGGCTCATTGCTAGAACAACTTTTTGATGAAATCTATGGGCAGGATAGACAATTCTGTGAAATTTCCCAAAGAACATAAAAAAGAAGTGCAGATTTCATATGCAACCACCAAGTCTAAAACAGTCAATCATTTTTCCATCTACATTTCACTCTGTAAAGTGCAAAAATATCAAACAAGGCTAGTCTTGATTTTCTTCTTTGAATGCTGATATTGGTTTAGACTTATAATCTTAATTAGTAAGGTATAATTGGATGGCATCTTACAGAATGTCCCCTACCTTAGACAGTTTGACTACATGGGCATGTTGTTCAGCTTCTAATTGAGACCTGGTAAGTTGTAACTGCTCTTTCAGTTCGTTGATCTCCTCCTGCAGTTTATAAGTATGTGATTTTTTCTTCCGATCTGCTTCAAAGAATGTATAATGGTGATAGTGCTTGTTAATATACTTCATAGAAATGCAGTTCTACTTACACAGACATTTGAAGCATTATTTTTTCCTGTGGATTATAATACCAAGTACTTCCTCAGTACATTACCATCTAAAGAATGTAACAGAGATTATCCAGAAAACAAAAGCCTATCGCAAACAATAGATTTGGCTTAATGACCAGGGTGTTTGCTTAATGAAATTGGGTCAGTCATGTGATGACCTGCTTTACAACCATAATGGCTTATGCCCTTAAGTGCCAGACTCAATTACGGTTGAAAGTTGAGGATTAGCTGTAGATCTTTTCCTCTGAACATAAACAAAAAATTAAAACTCACTAAAAATAAAACCTAAAAAAAAAAAATTAAAGTTACATAATGTTTTATAGATACAAACTGTACAAGCTGCATTTGTAAAATTCTCTTTAGCTTAATAAGGGCCCTAGTAGGTTCTTGATATTGGCAAGAAGTAACAAATGTGCTGGATTTCCTAATAACGAAATGGCTCTCTAAACAACCTCTCCTCCTTGTTCTCTAAATAGCACCTACTGCACTTGTTTGCTTTTTTTGAACAAGAAAGATTATGGATTGGATGTTAGATTTCACTTACCAGTGACTGGTTCTTCTGAATGGCGACGCTGCAAATGACTGTGCAGGAAAGAAGCGTTCATAAAGGCTTTGTCACAAAACTGACACTGTAAAATAAAAGTTTGGTTAAACAATATCTGTGAAACCAAGTAATTTATCTCAGTATGTTTATTTTTATCTCTGTATGATTTAATGTATGTCATTATTTCAAATGACAGTTTTGTTCTGAAAACAAGAGCCATTTAAGTAATTTAATGGTGGTAGTATGGTGCAGGGAACTCAATCCCTAAACAAAAGGACTGAAAAAGACTTGTGATTAAAATGTACAAATATTACAAACATTATAAGCATATGCTTTTAAAAGTACAATGCATAAAAAGAAACTTAATTCTTCTAAATCACTACTGGTGACAGCTGGTGGCAGTACCCAGTTGATATGGGTTAATCTTGAAAGAATCCTTGGACAGAAGGGAATTGAATAGTGACTAGACAATTCATGCTCCATTGATGTCATCACGTGAGCATGAGGATGCTGCTTTAGTTATAAGTATGAAAGACAGTCAAAAGCCACTTCTTTCAGTGGCATTGTAAGTTCAAACTAATGTAAGTTCAGGAGTACCTGTATATTATCATTATCATGTAGATTCAAGCTAGCATAATTCACACCGTATTACACTTAATTAGGTTATGGCAGATGAAACGGAATACTGGATTCTACTGCAATGTACAAAGACTATACAGTAGAGGCATTATAGAACAATTCAGAAATGTCTGAAATTCTGCCAATGGGCAAGGTAAGCAGAAGTCAACAATTCTGGGCTACTCTTTTAAAATTGCAAGCAGAAAGAAGTGACAGAAAGGATTAGCCCACCAACGTAATTTAATAACTTTAGGAGAATCGCATTCTTGAATGTATACAGGGATTAAGTCATGATGCACTTAAACACTGTGACAAGGTCATCAAATGAGGCAAAACTCAACAACTATTTCTTTAACCTTCAAAAATAGTCCCCAATACTTTATTGTTTTGCTTTATTTACAGCATTTGTTATTCCTAGGTATCAAAGCAAAAGCAAAAGACTAACTTGTAATGAGGCTTTCCCACATATTCAGAACAGTACCATCCATACTGAGTTCAAATCCTCAAGCTCACAACCAAGTCTACTCCCACTCCACAAAAAACGGGAGGGGGGGCGGAAATACTGTAATCCTCCATTCATACGGACATAACAATATCAAATACCCTTTGGGTCACATCAACTTCTACATGTCAGTTGTGTTGGCAAGCCGGCTGCCATGGGACATGTTTTTCAACCTCCCAAGGCTGCCTCCAAGAAGTAACCCAAGTAAGGCCTGCTTAGCTTTCCAGCTCCACCAGATTTGGCCATATCCCACTTCAGGAGTCCTTGGTGCTCTCTGACCTCGGTTGCTTTCTTGCAGATCTTTCATGACCCAAACTAGGTAACATCATTGCACTGATATTAACCTTGTTTGGGTAATGAAAGGCCTGAAAGAAAACAACCAAGCTCAGAGAACACCAAGCACCCTTCAGGCCAACCCTGGGCTACAAATATTCTCCTTTACAGGTAGTCCTCGAGTTCTGACCATAATGGAGCCCAACATTTATGCTGCTGTGTTAATTTAAATGTTAATTTATGTTAACATTTGTTAAGTGAGTTTTGCCTCATTTTATGAATTTCCTTGCTATGGTTAAGTGCATTTAAGTTAATAACATGGTTGCTAAGTGAATCCGGACTCCCCATTGACTTTACTTGTCAGAAGGTTGTAAAAGCTGATCACAAGCCCCCAGGACACTGCAACTGTCATAAATATGAAGCCGTTGCCAAGCATCTGAGTTTTGATCATGTGGCCATGGGGATGCTGCCAAGATCATAAATGTAAGTCATAAGCAACGGTCATTAAATGTAAGTCAAATATAGGCCATAAGTCACATTTTAGCTCCATTGTAACTTCCAACAGGTCACTAAATCTACTGTTGTAAGTTGAGGACTACCTGTATTAGTACCCCACTTCCCCAAATCCATCACTAGCTCCTCGATTAGGAGCCAAGCTTTCTGTCCACCCTGCCAGCCCACCTGGTGATAGGTGGCCCCGGCCTGGAGCATCATCTGCTGGGTGGCGATCATCTTCTTGCGGCGCTTGCACTCCTCCTTGAGCAGCCGGATCTGCTGGGCCCCGCGGGCCACATCCTTGGCCAGCAGGTCGCGGTGAGCGTCGGCGGCGCGGAGCAACTCCTGCCCTGCGCGGAGTTGGGCGCTGAGGTAATCCTGGGAGTGGAGCAGGTACTCGAGGCAGAGCTGGGCCAGGCGCAGGAGCTTCAGCAGCAGCGGGTCGGCGGGGCCCTGGCAGTGAGGACAGCGTTCGCGGCCGGCGTTGCAGAAGGTGACGTGCTCCAGGTGCTCCTGTAGCACCGCAACGTTCACTTCGGCCGCCACGCGGTCCACTTCCACGGCGCTCAGGCGGCGCCAATCCGGGCCTTCGAGCCGCGAGCGGAATTGGAAAGGAGGCAGGGCAGCCCCGGGCGGTGGAGAGGTCGCCGCCGCCGCCATCCGAGCTGGCGGGTCCGCCTGTTGGGACAGAAAGAAACGGGGTTCCCGCACCGCCACCTGGCGGGGGTGTCTTCGCCGGCCTGGCGGGCGCCGCATGTCTTCCCCGTTGCCGCGGCAACCGAGGCGGCGTTGCTGGAGTCTCACGCGAGGAGGGGGTCCCTGCTAACCGCCCACGAACAGGCCTCCCCGACCCGGGGGCATTTTTCCCGCTATGGCATCCTCCCTTTCCTTTCCCCTCTCCCCCACTTTTTGCGTCCTGCGCTGCCTCCCACAGTTTTCCCCTTCTCGATCTCAGGTGCTCGAAGGCGTCTGTGAAGGCCCCACGCCTTCAAGCGCCCGTGGGCGAGGAAAACGCTGCTTCAGAAACCGAGCTTCGCCTTCAACCTCCCCTCTGCCAAGGCGGGCTGAGAAAATCTGGAAGGCCGCTGGATGGCAACAAAACGAAGCAGGAAACTCCCTGCTGTTTTTTTTTATCCAAATTGTTGCGGATCCAGACGGCTAGGGGCTCCAGGTAGGCTTTGGCTGGCCTACCTCGCAGGGGGAGAATTTCCACCCTCCCGCACACAGAGATGTAAACATTTTACCAACTCCCTGTCATAAAAATAAATTTCAGTTGCATTAGAGCAGGGTAAACTTTATACCCTGGTCATGCAAAGTTTCCCAACTAGGAGGAATCACTGGTTTCTATTTAAAGGTTTGAATCAAATGCAAGCAAAATTGCCAATTTCAACTTTGGCACATCCAAAAGTAAAGGTAAAAAAATATATGTGTAAAAACAATTAATTTTTGGTTTACCCATTGAGGCTTCAGATCAAGAAAAAGAGAAGTTGAACGCAGGCATCACCAACTCTTAATCCTAATTTCAGGGAGATTATCACTGGATTTGTTTTTGGAAGCATCACTTTTCCTATAAGCATCCATTTTGCACTGGCAGCACCATAATCACTCCTAATTTGGGAAGCGTGTAGCATCTGACATATAATAATCTAATAATCCTTCAATGCAATGGCACTCAACAATGTTTAAGATGCAGTCATACATTATGAGGAAAGGGAAACCTTATCATTGATGTAAAAACAAGCTTCCTATCACTCCCTACTTACCTCCCTTGCTTTGCATTTCCAACAATTAACACACGGAAAATGGTTGGTTAATTTGGATTTAACTTGTGGTTTGCTGATAAGCCAGTTGCCTATTATTGTGAGGATTTCTGTATTATAGAATATAAATTAAATCGTCTTTTAGCATCTCCCTCTGACTTCAATGTGATTATGTGATTACAGTCATATACATATACGTATGTAAGTCAGTGTTTCTCAACCTTAGCAACTTGAAGATGTCCGGACTTCAACTCCCAGAATTCCCCAGCCAGCAAGCTCGCGTGGGGAGTTT